AAACCCAAAAAGAAAAAAAAGGAAACAAAACCTAAAGTTAAAAAGGTATATTTATATTTACTACTTAATATAAAGCTAAAAAATATTAAGAATCTTGAGTTAGCATATCCTTTTGTGAAGAGTTTGATAAATTCTTTATTGTATTGTGACTAAATAATAACTGATATGATATATAGAATTTTTAATTCACTGATAAAAATTATTACAAAATACACAGATTCAGTATTTGTTTGTATTATATATACAATAGCTTTTTATGTTAAATAAGATATCAGTATAAAGATCGTAAGTTTAATTTGCAGTTTTTATAGTTTGCTTTTAAATTACTAAATTTCATAACTTTATCATTTATAATTTAGCTAGTACAAAAACACCTAGACAATTAAATATTTCATAGGCAACTAAAAATTCAAGAATTCATAAAATCAGTAAAAGTTTAGACAAATACGATTAAAAATCTATAGTATTTATATCAACTATGTAAAAAGGTAGAATCGCTAATATGTAAGAAGTGAGAAACTTATTTAGGCTGGTAAAACTTGTCTTATTGATTTTAGCAGTCTAAACATGGCAAAGCCATGCTATGCAAATCATTTATACAATACTATTATTGGAAATTTTGTTAGAAATATATATATAGTGAACGGTTGGAAAATGATTGGCATGAATTACCTTGGTGATTGGAGTAAACAATATAGTAAATTTCTTTTCATTTTCATGTTCTTATTATCTCCTCTCAAAAAAAAAAAATCATTAATTAATTTTGAATTTAATTAGATTTTAGGCCTTTTAGCTATTGGATTTGAGAAATATAGATCTAAGGAAGAATTACTTAAAAATCCAATTAAACATCTGAATGATGTGTATGTCAAAATTAATGTAGGTTTTATTGTTTTTAATAAGGTCATAAAATACTCAAACTTAACTATGTTTAATAAAATTATAATATATTAATATTAGGCTGATATCGTAAAAGATTCTGATATAGATAATCAGGCTCATACTTATTTCAAAAAAATAGAAACTGGTATATTTACATAAAATTAAATTTTATAGAATATATATTAAACATGATTCGAATTATTTCTTTTAAGGTGATGAATTCGCGCTTGCATTATAGAAAAGGTTTAAAAATCTTAGTATAAAAAGATACAAAGATACTTATGCTCATCTTAACATTAATTTTGATATTTATTCTAATGAATCACAAATTAGTAATAAAAGAATCTCTTTTGCGTTGAAAATACTCAAGAAGAAAAATATTGCTATAGAATCAAATAGTGCAATAATCACAGATTTAGGCAAATATAAATTAGATATTGTGATAATTCAAAAGAATAATAGTACAATATTATATATTACTTGAGACATTAGTGCTGCATAGAGCGATATGAATAATACAAATTTGATGCTATATATTATATCGTGGCATCTCAACAAGACCTACACTTTAAGCAG